TGTATGCATTTTGCTCACCTCAATTCTAAAAAGAAGCATCCTAAGACATAATGAATTAAATTTATCCTGTTGCAAACAGCTTGCAGAAGGGCATTGGCAAATAAGCTCATGTTAGCATTTACACTAACTTTATGCAAATACAACAAAAACAGTTAGATCCTATCTGAGAGAAGAGTGAACAGGATGTGGTGTCAACTGTATATGCTTATAGCACAACAGCTTCTTCAGCCTAGCAGCCCTTGTCCCCTCCCCATCTCTTGAGAAGGGTGTGGGTCTACTAACATTAATAAAACCATGTTTTGAGGTAACTTCTCAAGCCAATGCCACCTTCTCCAAAGAAATCATGACCAGGTAAAAGGACAACCATCTTCAAGGGTGATGACAAGCAATGTTCTATATTTTCTTGACACTCCCTTCATCCTAAAGTTTTCAGCAGTGCCGACATAGTTTCTACCGCACAGATGACGCTTACAGCAATATGTAGTCACTGTGTGAAGGTGGTATCAAAATGGAAATAAACTCATAGAAGACTTAAAAAAACCCAAACAAACCCACACAAAAAAAAAACAAAGGAAAGATCAACAAATTCTCAAACTAGGAATCATGAATATATTTTGCTAAATATTAATGGTCTTCAAGGTCAATGTTTTCCCTATCCTTTATGATAATGATTTAAGCTATACAAAACTAAATGTATGAAATGGACATAAACCCATAACACACGGAAACACATCAGTAAAAAAAGGACATAATAATTGTTTTAAATGGCTTCTGTTTTTAACACTGCTATTGACTGCCCTCTGAGTGCCTGTTAAAAGCAGGGAGCAGGTCATTCACCAGCAAAAGCAATTATAAAATGCAAATGACTAAGCATTTATTGTCAAGATTGTCTAGATAAAAAAGGTCTCCTTAATAATGTTTCCAAACAGATGACATAATTAGATATTTGTGTAATAAACAACAGGAAAGAATACAAGCCTTCAGCATTTTTTAGAAAGGCCACAATTAAAAAATAAGTAAGCATTGTGACATATATTCTATTAAAAAGTAACAATTAAATTTCCCTCTGAGAAATTAGAAGGCACCATCTTGTGGTTACTCCGCAGGGATTGAGCCAGGACAGCCTCTGGCCTGCCATCTCCTCCCACCCCTTCCTGCTGTCTCAACCGGAATGCCAAAATTCTGCCATAGACAAGGACAATGCTTTGTCATTCCCAATTCTTCCTCTGAAACAGATCAGTGAGATTAAGTACTAGGTAGGACTAGATGGGTTTTTTTAGCTCAAAATACACCCCAGGTTATCATATTACTCAAATGTGTGTTTGAGGTAGACAGCAAATTCATAATTAGTGGTAATCATAGAAAACCACACTTAGTTTCTAGGAAGTTTAAGATCAAATATTACCATAACCTAAAGTCTCTGCAGCTCAGTATAGTTGCATGAATTTTTTAGCCCATTAAGATCAGAATTTTCTATTATATTATCTCTAAATCAGCAAAAGCAAAAAATAGTTTGTGCAGTTTGCAAAAGTTGTCTGAAGTTTTTTGTACACAATTTATTTTGGGCAAGAGTCAACCACTGAAGCTTGTGCCATCTTCAAAGTCATAGTCTTGTATACAGGTCACAGGTTCAGCACATTTTAATTTTCTTTTTCAATAGAATCTACAGTTGTAAGTAAATCACATTTTTTAGGTAACGTGTATATTCACACCTACTAATGCTTGCTTTGAGTCCAGTCCTACTAGCTGCTCATTCATTGTACCTTGTGAGATAAACTACCCAGACTGATCTTTTTCAACTCAGTTGTGTAGCTGAGGGGTGAATTAGTTACCATACAACGTTTTGGCCTTCCTTGGGAAAAGTAGGTAAAATACAAACCAGTACCAATTAGCTATTTTTTATTGTTTTTCAATAAATTAAAAATAAATATTTCAGATGTTTAGATTATGATTTGATAACATAACTCTGGAAATATTTCATTGGTGTAATTGTTTCTGTACACTCTAAGATTTAATGCAGTATTTTGTATTATAGGAAATCCGTGTTTCATTTTATATTACTTGAAGTACTTAACAATTCAAAATTGCTGGTTTTTTAACAAGCAGACCTAGTTCTGACCTGCTGATGACTCAGTGAATCTTGAATAACCATAAATGTTAGCTGAATTGAATCCATATATTGTTCTTTTCACATCTCTCAGATCAGGATCTTCTAGAAAATACTTAGTAAATTAGGGCACTCATTTTTCAAACAAATTAGCCACAGTAAGTGTCAGGGACTGACAGCCTAACTGTGATAGCATCCAGGCTTATCTTTTAAAAAGTGTCAATAAAGAGGAATTTCTATACGTCTGGAAAGTGTTGTGGTGGCATGAACTAATCTGTTTCCCAAAAAATCTACAGCTAGCGTCATGTATTTCCTTTGGATTTTTGAGCACACCAGGAACACAGATATTCTAAACCACTTTGGTTACAAGATGCAATAGTTCTTTAGCAAATAGAACAACTTTGGCTGCTGCTTTTCTGAGCTTAACTCCATTCAAGATTTCATTTCTTCATCTAGATTGACACCAGAGGAGTGGGGTGACACTGGAAATGCTAAAAGAACATGGCTAGATTACACACTTTAAACCTGCATTGCCTCCTCAGTGGATATGCAACTGTGTATTTTGTATATGTTAGAAAGCAGACACACATGTGAATATGTCTATTTATATCCCAGGACACTCCACATATTCAGCAGATGAAGTTATCTGATTTTTTTTCCCCTTGGTTGTTAATGCAACCTTTGATCTTCCCTGTTTCTGAATGTTGACAAGCATTATACAAATGCCAGAACTATACTGTGATTTTGAAGGAAGGAAATTACAAATGTTCCCCAAAATAGGTGCCTCCTCTCTCCCTGTGGGACAACCAAGGCAGCATTACTTGCATGGTTTACTCATCCCAGCAAGGGAGATGTAGAGATTGGAGACAGTTGATAACACTGCTTACCTCCCCTTTGGCTGCCACTACTCCCTCTCCTTGGCAAAGGGGATCTTCTACATTTGGGGAGAAGGGAAGATGTTCACTGACGCTCTGTGGGTGCTGAGAGGAGAGTGGGTGAGGGGATGTTGGGGTAGACTATGTGTAGAGATGCTGGCTTCATGTTCCTGTTAATTTCACTCCATAAGTTAAGTTCTGCTGATGTTTTAGTGATCTCGTGACATCAGAGTATGTGGGTGTAGTGGGGAGAGAAGTCAAGGTGAAAGACTGGCAGCAAGGAGGGGAAGAGAGAGACCTGACTCTTTCAACTGCTTCAGATTCACTCCTAACATTTTTAAGTATCTCAATACTTAAGGAGGTATTTCTGATACAAGTAGTGTTAAAATGTCTGATACCTCCAGTCTTTACTCTCTCTCTCTCCATAATTAAAAAGAAAAAAAAAAAGCAAATGATAAAAAATAAATGAAACAAACCCCCAAATCACCAAACCAAAAGTCTTAGAGAATTGTCCTTAAATAAGAAGTTTCTTTTTGCTTCCTCACACAAATTCCACCATGCTATCACTACGATGTGATATGCATTCACACTCTGCAAAATACTGAACTCATGTTACAAGGTTACTATCAAAACAGTGTTGTTTTTCTAAGTGAGTGGTTGCTAAATATCTTGAAAACCTAAATATCCTGAAAAGATAAACCAAATTATACTGATATCCATATGAATTCCATATTCACTTTAGGAATGCATAAACATTATTTAGACTTAACATGAGTTACTTAACTGACATCTTTTTCCTTACAAATCCATTTCAGAAACATAACATTCCAATAGCATGTTAAAAGAAAGAATCAGTCTGTAGTCTCATAAAGAGAAGGATCTAAATGATCTTTTAACAATTTAATAAAATGTACCCATATTCAAACTGTGTTTAGGACTTTGTAACCTTACTCCGCCTTTGTGTGTATTAGAAAAAACCTCTTTAGCAATACATTTTTAACAGGACAATTGCATACCAAAAAGGTTGCCTCAAAAAAAAAATAAAAACAATCTGCAAATTTTCTGACTAATAATTCGAGTTACAAAAACTCACCAGTAGCATCTGGAAAAATACCAATATAAACATAGCTGTTGAATTTACTACTGCTTTTATTAAATTAAATTTCTAAATAGAAATACAGAAATTGCCAAAGGTCACAAGCTCCTCAAAAGGAGAAGAAGAAAGAAAAACATCTAACAAAATCCAACAGTTTCTCTCAATTTTTAAAATTCAGAATTTGCCATAGCAATAAAAAACACAGTTTGAGTTTAGGTTTAAACATGGGGACATATATATTGAAAGATTTATTTATTTATTATGCAAAAGTGATAATTTAATCTAAGAATTTCACAAGATATTACTAGTGTTGGCATAATTACAGTACTGTGGTCATATAAATTGCAAGTACAGAACAAATTCACACTAGATTTTTCAAAACTGACTCAGTTTGAAATTACAGGACATCACATCAGGAGTAAGCCCACCAAAAAATCATGCTCATGTAATCTTTTCCAGATGCTACCAGGATGACTTTGCAAGTATAAACTTCTGCAAAGAACATTTCTATGGAGACATTTTTTAGATTTTTGAGTTTGAGCTACAGACAGTTTGTCTTTTGAAAATCAGAATTATTTGTAGAAGATTAATTTGTTTCCCATTAGAGTTTTGAGTTTCTTCTTCATCCATAAAATTAACTGCAGTGAACTTCCAGGAGTAAAAAGCTGTCTTTTTTCAGGCTTGAATAAGAGGAGAAATAGTCACTTGTCCTGAAATCTGGCTACAATTAAACACATTGAAGAAAAATTAAAAGCTGTAAATGTTAGACTTTGGGTACTTCGCTGTGATCCTTTGTTATGCAAGTACTGTACTGTACAATGAAAAATCAGTATGCATCACCTACAGTACACTACCAAACACTTAAAGTATTTTAAATAATAGACCATAAATATAAAATAAAATAGGAAAAAACAATATTTACCTTTTCCAACTGGGCATTTTTTTTTGATTTATACAAAAACTCCCCCACTGCCACAAAGACAGAAAGCACCAATCCTGCTGCCAACACGATGAAGATTCCTCCAATATTTTGAACTCCCAAAGCACTGGCCTCTTTACTTTCCTCCTCTGGGCAGCCATTGCCTCTCCACCATTTCTCCTTCATCATGTGGAGCTTGCCCTCCTCTTGCAGCTGAAGAATTGCTATAGTGATCTTGTCTCTATATGGTGAACCTAAAGAGACCACACGGAACGTATATATTGCATGGGGTATATCACAAGGAAAGTTTGTTATTCCTGATAAGAATAAAATGTAATATAATACCCTAGAAAAAATATATCCTCTACAACCATGACTTATTGAAAAGCCACTTACATCTCACCACAATCACAATGTTCACATAAATATAGGCCCACATGCTCATGTCCATATAAATATAAATGCACAAAACTTGATCCAGTTGGTCTTGCTTGCAAGTCAGGCCACTTGATGAAAAAAGTCCTATCACACATGGTCCCATGGTCTCAAACGTCTTCATGGCCAACTATTATATCCAGCCAAACATTATTCATCTTTCAATTTCCATAAGGCTTTTAATTATGCTGTAGTAGATCCAACCTCATATACACAAATCTACACTGTTGCTTCATAGCTTGTTACTCTAAAGCTAATCCAACGTCTGTTATGTAACAAACGCTTTATGCTATTACTTTATTAAAAGGAGAAACAACTTATGTTTAAAGACCAAGTCACAGAAGTCTCTATTTGATAGATTGTCAGACACTTAAGATATCTTCCAAGGACATGCTTATTTATTAACAGGTAGCAATGCATTCAGGAAGATAAGGTTACGTGTGTTTGGATAACAGGGATGTAAATTAAGATATTTTAATGTATTTCTTTCTCATAATTTAGTATTTTAAAGTGACATGATAATTTTGTAGCTTTTGAATGGTTCAGTATTTCCAGGGGCAGTTCAAAGGGTAATGCTATATCTTTGCATGTCATTTGCTCTCTTTTACTTTGTATAGTGCATGAGTATTTTTCAATGAGTATTTTAAAATCTACATTAATTAATGAATAATGTCAATGGAGAAAGTGTTTCTTTTCTGAATGTTATAAAGTAAATCATATCAGTTAGAAGTGCTTTCTATGTTAAGATTTGTGTAATGTTTAAGGAGAGAACAAAGACATCATTTTTCTTCTCCTCCTTCAAAAGCTGGAACAAAAGACTCTTCATTAAAGTGGTTAAGAAAGCCCAGAAAAAAAAGGAGTAGATGAAAAGGCATGGCATCCTCTCTTTCATGTGATATGAATGCAATTCTGCAAAGAATCCCTACTCGTTTTCTTTTTGTCATAATAATGCTATTTACTAGCTGTAAAGTTTACAGTGTTTCCTTTTGCTGAGTAGTAAAATGCATTTTCATTAACTTGATACCATTTAAAAAAAATCCTTAGCATCCTTTAGAGAGATGCTGCCCATTTGACTGTATTATGTAATGTGATCAACTGTGGAGATGCTGAAAGGAAGGAATGAATAGGCTATTTTATACTATTTACGCTCCTGGGAAATGTCTATTTGCTACTGGAATTCCCTTCAATTTATTCTTTATTTCTTCAATTTCTGCTTACATATCTAGAGCTTATCATAAGAATAAAGCTGATAGCTAAGGGTTGCTGTGCCAGCATGAAAGTAAAACATAGAAAGGACCACTTATTTCAAAACATTCTGGACTTGTTCTTTATTCTAGAATATAAGATAGGAAAAGATGTCCTCAAAGTATTTAAGATGCAAGAATTTGTACTTTTGTCATCTATACTTTAGAAAAGAATGATGTTCTGTACTAAGAGCTAAACTGTGTTTACATAGGACTATAAAGGAAGTAGAAAGAAAGAAAAGCAACCTCTCTTTTACTTTCGTGTGCATGCCTATGTCACTATTTCAGACCATTCCTGATAATGCTGAAACACTGCAAAACCCTCTACTTGACACATTTCTTCAGTCAGACGGAAAAAGGAAAATGATTAGTCCACAAGAGCCTAGGGAAGTATAAGTGCATCCTATAATCTTTTGGGGATATTTTCAGCATTATACTGCCTATAAATATTTAACAACAACAACTCAAATAACATTAGTTTCTAAGAAATAATCTTGGACCCAGTTTAGGCCATCTTCTAATTTGACAGGCTGCTTTCTAATTAAGCCGATTTGCATTTCATTTCCACACTTTCTGATGGCCTAAATATAGGAAGTACCAACCATTCCTCATGTATTATTTATATATTCTAGGGACCAGATTTATACACATAGAGTTCTAGCTCATTTGAGGAACTTTAGAAATGAATTAACTGTGGAATTCATAGATAGAAACCATAAAACATGGACTAACCTTATCTGCAATTAGTTAAGATTGTGAAAAATTCAGTGCAGAAATATCTGACTTTTTTTTTCCCTCTCTTTCTGATTCCTACTGCTTTCACTTCTTTATCAAATGAAGAGGTATTCCCATAACAAACTGGGACCAGAAGTACTACAGGACATAGTCTATATATCATTTGCTTATACCACTGCAGCTGCTGTTTGCAGGAATAAGAATTTCTGCCAAAAGTATTTTAAGATCTTATAGATTATAGAGACCTCAGTGTCTTGCTATGATCAACAAGCTCGGTAAGGGACACAATAACCTCTCTCTGCAGTTACCTGCCTATAAAAACTTAAAAATGAAAATTTGCATAAAATTCTATTTTCTGAAGCTCCTGTATGAGAGTAGGATAAGAAAATCTCAGAAATACTGCAGAAATACATAGACAAGTATTCTGCCCTGAAGTCTCAGTACATAAATATTTATGTGCATAATGATACGTTTAATCATAAATTATGAACACACAAGCTTCTTTATATTGAGACTTCATTGCATACAGATTAGTATGTTGAATTC